AAGACTGGAAAGTTGGAGGCTATGCTATTTGAAAAGATGGGAATTTCTCTTTCTGAGATGAAACCAAGTCCAAGGAGGAGCAGGGTCAGAGATAAAGAGAGATGACTGATTCGGGACGTCTGTGTGATGAACACAGAGGCAGCCTGACCATGTGCTGAGTGAGATCTTCTCAAGCTCGGGAGGGAGATGTTTTATTTCTCCCTCTGTTACTAATGAAATTGAAGCTTAGACAGGCATGTCCTTTGTCCAGTCAGTGGCCCAGAAATGGTACCTGTGAGATGGATGGTTTATTTGCTCATTCACCGAGTATTAGGTAAGGCCCGGGATGGGGCTACTCAGAGCACACCCCTTCAGTATAAGCTGTCATTCCTCATACCTTATTTAGTAGGCTAAGGTGTGATACTTCTTATACTTTATTTTTCTTTAGTCTTCTCTCGTGCCTCCCCCCACCATTGTCTTATGATTTTAGGATGAGGACTGACCTTGAAGGAGATTGGCTGAGCTGCAGCCAATCCTCTGAGAGACAAAGGACAAAGTGTTCTTCCCTTGTTTAGTGTTAGTGAGAACATCCTTGGGAAAGGCTTCCACTCAAAGCAAAGTTGTCTTTTAAGGGTTCATTCTAGCTGACATCTGGCAGGCTGAAATTTTGTGTAAAACTTCTCAGTATAATAGCTCTTTCATAGCTTAAGAGAAATTTAGAATGATTCATTATGACATTTTATTATTATGTTATTTATTTAAGCCACCCGGAAGTTTGTTGCTGAGTGGCTTGTATGCTCAAGGCCTACATTTAATTATACCATCTGATCTCAGAAGTATTTAAGAGCTTCATACACACAGAGATGGTCCATACAGTGTGGAGTCAGACTTTTATTTCATTGATCATGATGCTGATTTGCCATACACTGTGAATTATTTGATTTGGCCACGAGGGCTTAATTCAAAGATGGTGTTGCCACCTCCATGTAAAATCAGCAGCTCCAGGAGAGCCGCCCTAGGTCAAGCCTGCCCATGTGAGTTAAAAAGTGCAGTGATGATTTTCACATAGATCTTAGGAGTTATCAAGAAGCTTTATTGCCGTCTCATCTTCCAAACGCGACAGTAGTTATTACTGTATTCACTTCACAGACAGAACCCTTTGGCTACTAAATAGGTACCACAAGTGGCAGTCAGCAGATCGGATCTGGCATGATTCCTGTCATGCTCATGAAACCCAGCCAGGATCATTATTCCCATTTCACAGATCAACCTCTGTGGCTAGGTGTTTAAGTGACCTACTCAACATAGTGGGTACCGGTAAACCTAGCCTCAGTCTGTCTTCACGGCCAGTGGACACAGCCACTTGGCCACATTTGCTTCAGCATGCTATGCAGCTGATGTCGTGTAGCTAAACAGGCTGACCCTCCACCGCACAGTGTCTCAGTAGAAAGCCTGTTCATTTCCCACTGTCCTGGGCTGGGCTGTTTCTCTGCACAAGGAGAACAGATCAGCCCATGTCACAACCAAGCACCCTCAAGCCCTTTGTGACATATGTGTGTGTGTGTATATATAAATATATATATATATATTTATATATATATACATATGTATGTATATATATTATGTGTATATACATATATATACACACATACATATACACATATATATGTATACACTACACACACACACGCACATATATGTATGTATGTATGTGTGTATATATATGTATATATATATATATATACACTTTTTAAAATTCATTTTTTATTCTGATCTCAGTCCTCTCTCCTCCTCCCAGTCTCCCACTCACATAGTTCCTCCCCTCCTTCTCCCTGAGAAGGGGAAGGCCTCTCCCTGGGTACCAGCTCACCTTGCCATATCAACTCACTGCAGGGCTAGGCACATCCTCTGTCACTGAGACCAGTTACAGGGAACAGGAGTCACAGGCAGGCAACAGAGTCAGGAACAGCCTGAGTTGTTGCCTCCCCTTCTCCCACTGCCCCCTATGAAGACCAAGCTGCATATTTGCTACATATGTGCCGGGGGCAATAGTCTAGCCCATGTACGCTCTTTGGATGGTGGTTCAGTCAGTGGGAGCCCTTAGAGGTCCAGGTTAGTTTTCTCTGTTGATCTTCTTATAGAGTCGCTGTCTCCTCCCAGTCCCTCAATCTTTTCCCCAGCTCTTCCACAAGACTCTCTGAGCTCCATCTTTTGTTCCTTTGTGATGTTTTAATCACCACCATCATTCCTTGGGTTTCGTCGTGATTTCCTCCAGTTTAGACAGGGAGGAGTAACCCACTAACTCACTGTTGGCTTTGAGGACTGGACACACAGACCAAACTGCTTGCTGAGGAAGTTGTCTGGCGCAGTTAAATCTAAACTTTGCAAACTTAACTTCTGTTCATCCAGACCCCTGTCTTGTCACTGCGTGGTGGTTGTCGGTTGTCCCTTTCATCTGTTGAGAATGTGTTTGACTCCAGCCCCTTGCCTTTTACGAGACAGTTTTCCTGCTCTGTAAGGAGCCAACCCTTTCCCATCTGAAGATGGTTTCCCATTTCTCTAACTAGTAACTTACACTCGTGGTGGAAGGCAAAGAGTTACATCAGTATCTGAGGATAACGAGGACCAGTCACTCGGAATTGAAATGCTGCCAATCTGTGCAATCTCAACCTTGGGAGTTTTAAAGCCTAGAAATTCATTAGTTTTAATCATCAAATGTCTTTTAGACTTCTGAAGAAAGCTTATGTTATCACAGCATTGACTTTTTCTTAAGTCGCAAACTCGGGTAAATGCTTCTTAAGCTTGAATTGGGGGTGTCCTCCATATCTATTAATGTCAGTAAACATCAGATAAATATCCAGATGTATTTAATTATTTCCACTCAAGGAAGTATGTCCTATTTAGATAATCTTTAAATAAATTGTTTCCAAACTGAACAAATAAACAAGAAATAGCTGAAACTCAGCAGCTTCAACTGCATAGAAAAACCTAGAGGCTTTAAAAGAGGAACTAGCCCAGGAAAAATCTGAGTCCCCTTATGTATTCATTTTTATTTTGAGAAATAAACCTGAATTGACTGTTCAGATATGTTTTTGTTTTTAAATTAGGCTGCTGATTTTCAAAGAATAAGAGTCAGTTCAATGGAGAGTTTCATACCTGTTCCAATATGCTAAACCTCTGATATATTTTAAGTATGGAATGAACAATCAAGAATATTTTGTGTTTGTTGTTGTTAGTTCTGTTTTAAGATAAGAATGTAAGAATGAGGGTTGCAGAGATGGCTCAGAGAATTGGGTCATGTTCTGCAATTTCACGGGGTGGGAGTTCAGTTCCCAGCTGGCAATGGATGGCTTCCGACTGCTGGCAACTCCAGCTCTAGGGGATCCAGTGCCCCTTCTGGCCCCTGCAGGCACCTGCTCTCATCACACACACACACACACACACACACACACACACACACAGGCACACACACACATTGAAAGTCTCATAATCCCTTTATGGATGAGGAAACCCAGGCTCTGTGTGGTCAAGGCTGAGTGGGGAACCAGTTATAACCATTGCTAAGCCCATCTACGTGCAAACACACCAACCGTCCTGTAAACAGCCAACTCCGTTCATGTTTGAAGTTAGCATAACAATTTTTAAGTTTGCATTTAAAACCAATTAAGTGAAATTTGCTTATGTTTCTGTTAGTGGATTTTTGAGAGAGATTAAAAAAGAGTCTTTATGTTGGAAATAGCAACAAGTTTATCTTCTTATCTCTGCCCAAACCACCCTGAACACACCTGGTTTCACCTAATCCAGGAAGCTATGTGTGTTTGGGTCTAGATAATACTTGAATGGGTGACCCCTGGGAATACCAGGCAGTATAGGCTCAAAGGGGAAAACAAAACAAAACAAAACAAAACAAAACAAAACAAAACAAAACTGCCTTCTCTTTTCTTAGACAAATGGATGCTGGCCTTTTAGTAAACTTCCTAGCCTTGGCTTCCATGTCTCAGAACCCAGGAGAGATATGTCAAAGACATTATCAGCCCTCAGCAATTAACCTTGATCAGTTTTCTGCCCATTATTTTTATTATCAATGACTGTAGGAAGCTCTAAGCCACAGTTCAAACACATGACACTTAAAAAAGAGAGAGAGAGAGAGAGATTTGAGTGGTATTAAAGCATTTTCCTATTCTCCTGTTTGGAGTTATCTTCTTGCTGTCAGGAACTCATATGCTTGCCCTTGAACCTGGATAGCGATATAGCTTCTCAGTATTCAATCACAGTTGGTTTTTTTTTACATTGACTTTTGTCTTTTCTCAAAGGTTATTGTCTGTTTTTGCTTTATTATTAGATAATGTACCCCGCTTCCTTCTTTTCTAGTGAGTTAGCATCCTTCCTCTCCTCTGTTCTCTCCCTCATCCTTGCCCCTTGACGCTCCCAGTAGAGAATGCCATTCCACTGACTCCCAGAGAGAACGCTCATTGCAGGGGAGCACAGAAGCAGGCACTCCAAGAAGGAAGAAACACTCCCAAAACATGGCAACCAGATAAGCAACCGTGAAAGGCGCAGTCTAAGTCTTTTGGCAAATTATACAAGTTAATTGATAGAAAAAAATATAATTAAAAAATGCGTTCAGGGAAGGAATCTTTGAAAATACAGAGAATAAATAAAATAAATTCCACTTTTTGAAAATAAACAAAGTGGATTGTTTTCAAAATGGCCACTGGATCTTCCAAATAGAAATATTTATGCATAAGAGATACAAATGGGCCTTATGCACAGACATACCCATTTTGTCATGTCCATTGAGACATCAAGTCTAGAGAGCTCTGGGCTACTTGAGGCCTAAAAGGGAGAGGCCGTGGGATTTATTTATTCTTCTTATTATTTATTTTAGAATCTCGTTTTTTGTTTTTTTGTTTTTTTCTTCTGTGCTGTGTCCTAAGTTCTGGGCTGCATGATTTTTAGGCTGTGGAAGCTGGAATACTGAACAGGTTTTGTGTTTCATCTTTTTTTTTTTTCCTTCCCAGATCCCAGGCAGGCACAGTCTTCCCCACCGTGGTCCTATGACCAGTCTTACCCCTCTTATCTGAGCCAGATGACATCCCCGTCCATCCACTCCACCACACCGCTGTCTTCCACACGGGGCACCGGGCTACCTGCCATCACCGACGTGCCCAGGCGTATTTCAGGTAAAGACCAAGCTTTAACTAGAAGCCCACCCCTGCACAGGGGCTGGGGTGGGGGTGGTGATGGAACAAACCTGGCTTAGCTATGCTGCTCACAGTTACTGTCTATTGGAGATAAGTGACATTAGGTACTCAGTCTTCTGTATTTACGGGGCTCTCAAACACTTGAACATTCTTAACTCAAGGGATGAAAATCCACCAGAGATGGCATACTTTTCTTAAGATAGCCGTTAGTATTACCCAGTCAGTTATGGTCCTGCTGAATTGTATCCTATTAGAGGGTACAGCTAGGACCTTCTCCCAAAGGTCACATGCTAGGTCGTCCTCTGCTTGTAAACCAAAGGACAGACTGACGGTAACACCCTCCACTCCTAAAACCCGGGCTCCATAGTAGCTAGTTCCAAGAGAGATCACCCTCAAGCTTAAGATATTTATGAGAGAGACCTAGTCATTCACAGCACTGTGAGCCCCAGAGGAACCTTGAAAGGCAGCATGCAGCAGCTCAAGAGTGAGGCACACTGTCACTCTGTGGTGCCCCCCACACTCACAAAACCACTCCCCCAAAGCTGTGGATCATATTTGAATGTGTGTCTGCAATGACCTGGCTATCCTCCTCTCTATCCTGCAGGATTTAGCAGAGGGAGCCAGAAAGTTACCCTAAAGACTTCAGACAGACATGTAGAGCGAGAAGCTAAAGGCCCTCACCCGACCATATGAGTCTCATAAATAAGGAAAGCAATCCCTCGCTCACTCTGATGTGCACCCCACTCTCATTAATAATCAGATATGACTCCACAGGGCCACACAGCCACTGTGTCTCATGTCATCTTGTGTCAGCCTTTGGGCCCCAAGCACCTGTTTGACTCCTGGCCAGGTTAATGCCTTTCTTTCTCTCTTTCTGTTTCTGTTTCCGTGTGTGTGTCTCTTTCTCTCTCTATCAATTCTCTGCAAAGCTCGGAGTCGTTACTCTCTCCGCTGAGTCGTCACTGACAAGCTGAAGCTCCACCAGCAGGCTTCCCTTAGTCCACTCTCCTTTGTTTCTTTCAAGTTGGGAGGAGGGAAGGCTTTGTTTCTCAAGCGAGTAGCAGGAAAGGGCTCTCTGGTCCCAGTGCCTTCACATTTTCTGCTGCAGATGGACTCCCCCGGGGTGAGTAGGGATGGGAGATGGTGGAGGGAGAGCTGGAAGGTTCTTTGGATAACCATGTTACCACTTTTTATTGACCACTGCTGCCTGTGCTTGTGAATCACATGACATCTATTGGGAGCTGGGCCAAGGGTCGTATAGTATAGGCGTTTAGTTTTCCTCTGTTGAGTGAAATCACTGTCTCTTGTAGGCAAGACATCCATCAGGGATACATGAGAGGAAGGGGAAGACACACAGGGGGCTAGAAAGTGTGCCTGGGGCTGGGGTTGACTTAGTTTTGATTGTTTCATCTGTGTTTCAGATGAAGCATTGGTTTTACTTAGAGCCAAAGCTCCTCTTGAACTTGGGCAAGACTTGTGTGCGTTTAGGGTCTCTTTGGGCTTCCATCAGACCAGCCCTTTGCAGTTGAAGCAGATTTTTTGCTCTTTGAAAAAGCTCCAGTGGGGTTGGAGAGATGGCTCAGCCGCACCTGCTGCTCTGAAAGGACACAAATTCGTCTCCCAACACTCACATTGAGCAGGTCAAAACCACCGATGACTCCAGTCCCAGGAGATCTGATAGCCTCTTCTCATCTCTATGGGGGCCAGGCACACACATGGTACACATACATACACTCAGGCAATCACACATGCACAGAAAATAAAAGTAAAATAAATCCCTGAAAAGAAGGAAAGAGCCCCAGAGGACAATCGCAGCTATAGAGACACAAACCTACACAATGTTGTTAGCGAGGTGTGTTCATATACAGAGCCATCATGGAAATGGCTGTATACTGCCTTGAACAGATGATCACCCAGTGGGCTAGGCATCAGAGTGCCGTTCACACATGTGATGTGGATCAGTCCGGTTATTTTGTTCTTGTCACTTCAGGCATTTCCATGACGTGACATTATAGCTCTTTCTGTTCTACAGAGAAGGAGGTAGGAGCCGAAGCTGGCTGGTTATGCAGCTGTTTATTGATCTTAAGCCAAAGGCAGGAATGTGCCCCCACTTTATACTGGTTTCAAAGGCAGCTTAGTCCAGTTTTGTCCTCTTCTCTGAGCATTGCAGTGAGTCGTGACTGGTGAAGGCATAACAGGGAGCCACGGTGGGAGGTTCTATATAAACATTACCGAGAACAGAAAATCCCTCCTGTCAGCATGTGGAGAAACAGGAAGGAACAGGCAGCTGTGGACTGTCAGGATCTGAGAGAACCCTCCACCTCCTGACCTCGCTCCTGGTTGTGGGGCTGTGCCTGAACCGGAGCACTACCTGATAGGCTCAGATCATACCTCGAGGAGCTAGTGCGTGGTCCACTCCCCAGGGTCCATCCTTGGGATCATGATGAAGAGATGGTTCTTCTGTAGGGTCCTAGGGGCCGAATTACACAATTTCTACTTTATCATTATTTACCTCAGTATATAAAGCCATCCTCAAGATACATGAGACTGAACTTCTCCTACAAGTGAGACTTGAAGGTTTTTTTTTCTCTCTCTAGAAAATAAAACCCTTTGAATGCAATTTATGTGTACCATGCCAGGTCCTCTGGTCTGCCTCTAACATAGGCAGCTACCATTTGCCTCTAACATGGACAGCTCAAATGCTAACCTCTGTGACCATACCCCAAGAAGTCCCATGGTCACCTTCACGATGCTTTTGGGACATATCTCCCCATCCAAAGGGATACACAAAAATACCTGCCAATGATGCTGGGTGACCCTACTTAGGTTTATGAAACTTTATTAATTACTTGGGAAGTATACACTCTTCAGGATAGACCTGACACACAGTATGTGGCATTATAGCTGATATACTGAAGCTAAATTGTTTTTAAAGTTGTATATCTGTATGTCATTTGCAGGCAAGGCTTGGCTTAAGTTAATGTAATAAAAAGGAATATAAACTTTTTAAAGGAGATTATTTTCTTAATAAAAATGAATCCCCACAGAACACATTTAAAACAAAAAAAAGTATTTAAATGAGTTAACACTCCTATGAAGTTAAAAAACATCACTTTATAAAATATATAGCACACAGAATTACTAAAGCGTTCACATTATTGTTAGTAACATTTATAAGGATATTTACATATAGAGCTAAACTCAGGACATTCACAAAAGTCACTAGAGTAGCAAGAAAAAAATTAATTATGTAATAAATCAAAAATCTTAGGTTGTACTTGTATTTACTTGGGGTGGGAGGGTTCTCTGTTCCAAGAATAGAAACAATTAGAAAGATGAGTTTCTAAAGAAATTCCAATTCACCCTAAAATGCTATTCAAAAGAGATACTCTGAATTATTGTACTTGAAGACCCCGGTAAAGGAGTGGGGTTCTTCATTTTCTCTGTGTGTGCCCTTGCCTCTACCTTTTCAAGTGTGGATTCAGCTCTAGAACCTAAGGAATTATGTCCATAGTGTACTCTTATTTCCTATAGTTTTCTTTCTGGAAGCCAGGCAGGAACAAAAGCAGGTCTACTGAAATGATAAGAGACCCGATACCTGTGCTCCCCAGTTCATTACAGAGAAAGGTGTGCTGTCAGATGTCTTGAAGTTCATAGGCACAACATGAAAAAAATCAGGCTGTTTCCTCTTACTCTCATGCAGCCTTAAATAGTGTTGCAACAACAAGAGTTGTTTACAGGCTCATAAGCAAACACCATCTTATTTTCATTTAGCTGACAAAGGGGTCCTTCTTCGTCGTAATGACTTTGGGGCATACTCAGTTCTATTATACAAGTGAGGTTCAGCATATCAGACACCAGCCTCGTGGCATCACAGTGCAGAAGCAGCCCTGGACATCCTGGGCTTCTTACCCACCACCTATATTACAATAAGTAAGACCTTCTATCATAAACTAAGTGTGGCGAGCATCCTGACCCAGGTGGCTTTAAAGGTGACCTCACCTCATCTTGTGATGTGCCACGGAAGTAGAGTGATTGCTCAGTGCTTCCTTAAAGAAACAGGTTGAAACACTGGAGAGACCAGAAGCTGTATCAGGACTTTTACCATTGTAACAGAGCTGTCTGTCACTGGTGCTGCTGGGTTGGTGCAGGGCACTTGTATGGCTTCACATAATGATTACAGCTCATTTTCTGGAGATCATTACAAAATACTCTGTAGACAATTATTGACCTTCAGACTGTGTTTCATGTAGTAATCCTGCCACTGAAGGAAGAGACAGTCCTTACTGACTGAATCACTACTTTTGAGTCCAATGGGGAGACCCCATTCTCTTCCTACCTTGGAATGTACAGGTCCTTCCTACCTCAGCTGGCTCTTTTCCCTCCTTTCTTCCCTCCTGTCTGACCTCCTCTTCTGTGATGTGGAGGTGGAAGGGACAGATGCAGGCACTTCCCTGTGGCGTCTCTCACGTGGCCTGCAGTACTCTGTGGAGGTCCCATTCATGACACATGCTGGACACACAGGGAAGACTCATAGACGTTGTCTGCCTCAGTTACTTTGGGAGAGGCCTCCAGGGGTTATACTGAGAACTTTTCCATGGCATATACTTTTTTTTTTTTAAATATGAAGTTACTTTTCCCTGAAAGTTTCCTTTTCTTTTTTCCTATATAAGCAAATAGTCTTGAATCTCTTCTGGAAATATCTTAGTCTCAGAAGCAGTTTTGCTCAGCTTCACAAAGCTGTTAAAAAGCTGTCCATCCTACGGGCTCTCAGTTGATATTTCCCAAACTCAGCAGAGTAGGCTGTAAAAAAAAAAGTCACTGACAATTATTGTATCGATACCACAAGATATAGAAATTGCCAGTGGGGAGCTGGGCGACCATGTGATCACTTGAAATGTGTCAGGAGGATCAGCCCACGTAATTTAAAACCCAGTGGTATTTGATGGAACTCAAGTCTCCTGAGTCCAGATTTTAAA